AGTCTTTAGGATTCTCTTAAGTATACGATCCTATCATCAGTATACAGAGATAGTTGGATATCTTCTTTCCCAGTTTGGAAACCCTTTCTTTCTTTCTCTTGCCTGATTGCTCTGGCTAGGACTTCCAGTACCGTATTGAATAGGAGTGCTGGAAGTGGGCATTCTTCCCTTTCTCCAGTTCTGAAGAGGGATGCGTTCAACTTTTTTCTGTTCAGGATGACAGTGGCTAGGGGTTTGTTGCATATGGCTTTTATTATTTTGAGAAATGTTTTTTCTATGCTTATTTTGCTGAATTTTACCACCAAGGTGTGCTTGATTTTATCAAATGCTTTTTCTGCAGTTACTTCAATGATCATATGATTTTTGTTTTTAATTCTGTTTATGTGGTGGATTATGCTTATTGACTTGTGTCAATTGACTTGTGGGATAAAATCTGCTTGATTGTAGTGGATTTTTTTTTTTGAGTTGGAATCTCACTCTGTCGCCCAGACTGGAGTGCAGTGGCCGCTCCTGGCCATTGCAACCTCGACCTGCTGGGCTCCAGCGATCCTTCCACCTCAGCCTTCCGAGTAGCCGGAATTACAGGCATGCGCTACCACGCTTGGCTGATTTTTTGATTTATTGTAGAGATGAGGTCTCGCTGCCCAGGCGGGTCTCAAACCCGCAGGCTCAGGCAATCCACTCACCTCAGCCTCCCAAAGGTGCAGGATTACAGGCTGAGCCACCAAGCCTGGCTTTGTAGTGGATTTTTTAAATGTGCTGTTGAATTTGGTTTGCTAATTTTTTTGAGGATTTTTGCATCCATGTTCACAAGGGATATTGGTCTGTAGTTTTCTTTTGTTGTTGTCTTTTCCTGGATTGTATTCAGGGTGATACTGGCTTTGTAGAATGAATTAGGAAGAATTTTTTTCTCTTCAATCTTATGGAATACCTTCAGGACAAATGGTACCAGTTTTTCTTTGAAAGACTGGTAGAATTCAGTTGTGAAGAGGATCTATCTTCTTAGGGCAGAATTTTCCCAATAGTCCACCTCATGAGCTCCTGGCAAATTTGTAGATCGGATTTTTCTGGGTAAGATGCCACTACCCTTGACACTGTTAGCAGTAGTCAAGTTCACTGATTATGAAGTACCAATCTGGCAATTTATGTGAAAGGAACCTCTTAGAGGTGGCCTACAGGTGTGCTATTTATGCTAGGTCTAGCTGTCCAGTACACACATGCAAAATCATGGGGAAAATCTAGGTGCAAAGTTTTTTCATCATGTCAAATCTTGAAATCTTTATCCACAGTTGGTACCCATAATGCACCATTAGCCCTTATCTTTGCTGGAATGGGCCCACCTATGATATTACATTCTAATTATCTCTGTTCTCTCTCCCCTCTTCCTTCTCTCCTGTCTGTCTGTCTCTCTTTCTTTCTGAGACAGTGACTCACTCTGTCACCCAGGTTGGAGTGCAGTGGCATGATCCCAGTTCACTGCAGCCTTGACCTCATAGGCTCAGGCAATCCTTCTGCCTCTCAGCCTTCCAAGTCGCTGGGACTATAGGTGTGTGCCACTATGCCCGAATTTTTTTTTTGAGTTGGAGTCTCACTCTGCCACCTAGGCTGGAGTGCAGTGGCACACTCACAGCCACCACAGCCTCGACCTACTGGGCTCAGGTGATCCTTCTGCCTCAGCCTCCCAAGTAGCAGGAACTACAGACACACACCGCCATGCCTGGCTAATTTTTTATTTATTGTAGAGATGAGGTCTTGTTAAGTTGCCCAGGCTGATCTTAAACCCATGGGCTCAGGCAATCCTCTTACCTCAGTCTCCCAGAGTGCTGGGATTATAGGCATGAGCCACCGTGCCCAGCCTCTTCCTTATTATTATTGTAATTGTATTAAAATACACATAACAGAAAATTCACCATCTTAAAGCATACCGTTCAGTGATTTTGACAAATCTGTATTGTTGTACAATCAACCTCCAGGACTCTTTTCATCTTGCAAAACTGAAACTATGTACCCAGCAAACCACTCCCCATTCCTCACTAACCCTGGTCCCTGGCAACTACCTTTCTGCTGTCTCTGAATTTGGCAACTCTAGGTACCTCACAGAAGCAGAATCATACTGTGTCTTTTTGGACTGGCTTATTTCACTCAGCATACTATCCTCATGGTTTATACCATAATGTAGCATATGCCAGGATCTCCTTTCTTTGTAGGACTGAATCAGATCCCATTGTATGTATAGACCACATATTGTTTATTCATTCATCTGTTGATGGACACTTGGATGTACCTCTTGGCTTCTGTGAGTAATGCTACAATGAATATGGGTGTGCATATAATCTTTAAGTTCTGCTTTTAAGTCTTTTGAATATATACCCAGAAGTAAAATTGTTGGATCATATGGTTATTCCATTTAAAATTTTTTGAAGAACTGCCATATTGTTTGTGGCTATACCATCATCTATTCCAAGTCTAGAAGGGTTCCAGTTTCTACACATCCTTGCCAACACCTGTCAACTACTATTGTTTTTCTTTTTCTTGAGCTGGAGTCTCTCTTGTCACCCAGGTTGGAGTGCAGTGGCACACTCATGGCCACCACAGCCTCGACCTGCTGGGCTTAGGTGATCCTTCCACCTCAGCCTTCCAAGAGGCTGGAACTACAGATGCACGCCACCACACCTGGCTAGTTTTTTTTGCGTGAGTGCGTGTGATTTATTGTAGAGGTGAGATCTCACCAAGTTGCTCAGGCTGGTCTCAAACCCTCGGCTCAGGCAATCCTCTCGCCTCAACCTCCCAAAGTGCTAGGATTACAGTGTTTTTCTTAAAAAAAATTTTTTCCCCCCGCCAGGCATATGGCGCATGCCTGTAATTCTAGCACTTTGGGAATCCAAGGAAGGAGAGTAGGTTGAGCCAGTTCAAAAGCAGCTTGGGTGACAGAGCATGGCCCTGACTCTAAAAAGTAGATATGGGGCCTCATTCTGTTGCCCAGGCCAGAGCGCAATGGCATGATTGTAGGTCACTGTAACCTCAAACTCCCAGGCTCAAATAATCTCCGTGCCTCAGGCTCCTGAGTAGCTGGGACTATAAGTGCATATCAACATGCCCAGCTAATTTTTAAACTTTTTTTTTGTAGATATGGGGTGCTATGCTGCCCAGGCTGGTCTTGAACTTCTGGCCTCAAGTGACCCTCCTGCTTCAGTCTTCCAAAGTGTTGGGATTACAAGCTTGAGTACTTTATCAGCCTAAGCAAAAGTTGAATTTAATTAATTGACCTTTAAAAGACAAGGTCTCACTCTGTTGCCCAGGTTGGAGTGCAGTGGCATGATCAAAGCTCACTGTAACCTATAAACTCTTGGGCTCAAGAGATCCTCTCGCTTCATCCTCCTGAGTAGCTGGAACTACAGGCGCATGCCACCACCCTAATTAAAAAAAAATTTTTTTGAGTTGGAGTCTCACTATGACCCAGGCTAGAATGCAGTGGCATGTTCACAGCCATCACAGGCTCAACCTGCTGGGCTCAGGCGATCCTTCTGCCTCAGTCTTCCAAGTAGCTGGAACTATAGGCCCACACCACCATGCCTGGCTACTTTTTTTGACTTATTGTAGAGATGAGGTCTCACCAAGTTGACCAGGCTGGTCTCGAACCTGTGGGCTCGGGCAATCCTCTCACCTTGGCCTCCCAAAGTGCTGGGATTATAGGTGTGAGCCACCACGCCTGGCATTTTAAATTTTTTGTGGATCTGGGTCTTGCTATATTGCCCAGGCTTGAACAAAACACTTGAGAGGAAGGAAGCCATCCAATGACTATGTGGTCTGTCCAATTCATACAGATGTTAACTGGTGGAATTCGGATTCTAGCCCTAACAAAATGAATCCACACTATTTGGACTTCTAACGCATATTCTACAGATATGAAATACCATCCTAATGCACTGCATTACCACAAATACACAGGTTTGTTTATGGACTTTATATTCTGTTTCAACGATCTATTTGTCTATTACACTGCCTCGTGTTCATTCAAAAAATCTAAGCTGCTCATGTTATCCACTCTGCTTAAAATTTTACACCGACTAACCTCAGGATCAAGTCCAAACTGTTCAGCATGTTATGTGAGGCCCCTGCCCTCTCCTCTACCTCTTGAGTCTTCGATGGGGGTGCAGGCCCCTTCCTCCATGATTTCCTGTGTTCTAGTTATAAAGCCCTTTGGCAGTCATCTGAACTGGACAAGCGCATTCACTGTGTGACATGTGTCTCCTGGCTTATCCACCCTGCTTCCTATGCTTCATCTTCTTACTGGGCAAACACCTGTTTGATCAATCGACTGATTGATCTCTCTCTCCCACTCTGTGTCTCTATCTAGAGGTCTCACTATGTTGCCTACACCAGCTTGGAACCCAAGCAATCCTCTCACCTCGGCCTCCCCAAATGCTAGGATCATAGGCATGAACCACCACGCGTGGCCTACCTGTTTGTTAAGATGAACTCGAACATCACCACCTCTAGTCTTTCCTCCCTCCCCATCCCCCAAAGTAGAAAGAAATCGTTCAACCTTTGTGTGTTAACAGCCTGCCCTGACACTTTTGCCCTAGCAGTGCTAGTTTACTTTATTTATTAATTTACATGTTTTTCTCTCCCACCATGAGTGTCTTGAGGACAGGACCATATCTTATTAAGCACCTAGTATACACAAAAAATGTTTGTTGAATAAGTCAATATAAACATCACATTACCTAAGCAACCTGATCTATAAAAATATGTGAATTATTTCTTAACTGTAAAGTGAGAATTTATAATTGTATAAATGTATGGATTACAAAGTGATGTTATACCTAACATTTTTGTGGTGACATTTGGAATTTACCCTCTCAGCAATTTTGAAGTGCAGAATACTCTATTAACTGTATTCACCACACTGTGCCATAGAACTCTGCAAAACCTTCTTCCTGGCTGAGATTTGCACCCTTTGCCCACCATTTAAAATTTACACATAAGACAAAATACCATTTTCAAAACAGCATTAAAAAATGAGTGTATTTATCCATACTCAGCTCATAATAGAGCAAATGAGTGAACAGAATAATTCATGTTATTGCATGTTTAATGAACTGGCAACAGAGAAAGGTAGTTGAAGAAAGGCAAAGGAGCTTTGTCTTGGAAGAACTAGAACCGAGGAGCTCCGTAATCATCCGGCATCCGCTCGATATTGTATCTGCTCAGGATGAAAGTTCAGAGTGAGAAGAGTGAACACAGAAGCACCCAAAACCATCCTCTTCTGCCTGCAGCTCGGCCCGCATGGTGAATGCTTTCTGTCAGTGGGAGCATTTTAGGAGAACATCATAACGAATTATTTATAGCGAAAAGTTGACCATAATATGGTGTTATCTTGACTCTTCAAAGTGACAGAGTTAGTGAGTGGGGCAGCCAGGACTTGAGGTCAGGTAAGCCCGGCTCCTCAGCCTACATTCTTTCTACCACAGTGCTCTCCTCAGCTGGAAAGTGACCTCAAGATCTGAGGAATGATGTGGAAACATCCAAGAAGGATAAAGAACAGCTTTTTTTCCTTTTTTTAAATAAGCTTTTAGTTTCTGAGATGAGGTATTGATTAAAAACAAACAAAAAAGCAACTTTTAAAACAGATATTAAAAAAAAAACTCTCAAAAGTATTTGTAGCCAAAAAGATTAGCTCGATTAAAATTACTGCTTTGCAGGTATGGTGGCTCACACCTATAATCCCAGCACTTTGAGAGGCCAAGATGAGAGGATTGCCTGAGCCCACAGGTTCAAGACCAGCCTGGGCAACTTGCTGAAACCTCATCTCTACAATAAATCAAGAAAAATTAGCTGGGCGTGGTGGCACATGCCTATAGTTCCAGCTACTTGGAAGGCTGAGGCCAAAGGCTCGCCTGAGCCCAGCAGTTCGCCTGAGCCCGGCAGGTCAAGGTTGTGGTAGCCGTGAGCATGCCACCGCACTCAGGCCTGGGCAGCAGAGTGAGACTCTGACTCAAAAAACAAAAGAAAACAAAACAAATGTATAAATTACTGCTTTGTATTCAAAGCAAGATATTTCCCTATTTCTTCTAGTAATATAATTATAACAAGCTAAATGTCTGCTGCATGTCAAAATCCTATCTTCATCTTTTATTGTTGTTTTTGATACTTTGTCTCATTTCTTCAACTACAACTATGGCAATATATGCTACAATTAATTTCTCTCAAATCCTCTATAACGTTATCACCTAACCTCATTTTTAATTGATACTTCTCATCACATCCCTAAGAAAAGTTCTCACCTGTGGTTAGAAATGTACATGATAGGAACTCCAGGGATCTTCCGGATTCTTCTTTTAAGGTCCCGGTCAACTGTGGCCACAATGTAGCACTTGTGCTATAAAAAAATATATTGATCAATGTTCTCATTGAGCTCACTGAGTATAGTTAATGACCATGGATAATGGCACAACCAGTGACTAGTCTCAGCATCATTTTCATAGTAAATAGTGTAGAGAAGTCTACGACAATTTGTTGAGTAACTACTCTGATCCAGGAGCTCATGTTTATAAAATATATAATGTGTTGCCTCAGCTGAATGTAGCCCTAAGAATCTTGAGGGGGAGAGCGGAGAAAGCTATCTACAAGTTGCAAACTGTTTTCTGTTTCATAAGTGGAAGGGATTTTTCATATTTGGGGCAGACAATTCCTTGGTTTTGTGAAAACGCCCCGAGGGACTCCATGGAGATATAAAATGCCTTAGTCTGAAGGGCAGAGTTCTCTTCTTTCCCTGGAAAGAAGTGCTGTGAGGTGGAGGCAGGATACCCCCTGGCCCAGAAAGCCAAAATAGGATCTTCAGGACTTGAAGTCTGAGCCTAGCAGCTCTAAAAGCAGGAACATTTAGCTCTCAGTTGGAAGCTAATTTGTGCCATACTCTACTTCCATCAAACCTGAATCATTGAGTTTTACAAAAAGTTGCAGCTAGTGTCAGTTGTGCTGCAGGAAATTAAGGGAAATGCGGGCCCCACCCATGGCATGAAGTGACCTTGTGGTTACCAGATGAAGATATTCCTCAGCAGAGAGAGGCCCTTATAAGAGCAATCAGCAGCAGAAGTTCTTGTGGTGCCTGGCAAGAAGGCTAGAATGAAAGAGTTGAACACTCTTCTTCTAGGGTATTTGAGGCAGCACCCTGGGAGCTCTCAGATATAACTAGGAAACACTCTTGGGTTAGGTATGGTGGACAGAACAAAATTTCAGTAAACAGAAATGTACATTTTACATATTTGACATTAACTCGAACTGTGAATTTTTTTTACACAGTTTTGTGAAATCAAGATTCAACAGGTGTGCCAAATCCTGTACCCAGTAAGTGCAGGTGCTGATATTTGAAACCACATCTCCCCCTCAAGCCTGTACCCTTCCCATTATGGTTAGAGTATAAATTTTCAATCCACTTTCTCAAGTAAAAGAGGACACCCATGCTTCTTAAGAATAGATGCTGAGTCGGGCTCGGTGGCTCAGCCTGTAATCCTGTGCCTTGGGAGGCTGAGGTGAGTGGATTGCCTGAGCCTGTGGGTTCAAGACCCGCCTGGGCAACTTGGTGAGACCTCATCTCTACAATAAATCAAAAAAATTAGCCAGGTGTGGTAGTGCGTGCCTGTAGTTCCAGTTACTTGGAAGGCTAAGGCGGAAGGATTGCCAGAGTCCAGCAGGTCGAGGCTGCAGTGGCCGGGAGCGGCCACTGCACTCCAGTCTGGGCGGCAGAGTGAGACTCCAACTCAAAAAAAGAAAAAGAAAAATAGATGCTATGTCATATTTTTGTTGTTGTTTGAGTCAAGGTCTCTCTCTGCCCACCAGGCTGGAGTGCAGTGGCACAATCACAGCTCACTGCAGTCTCAACCTCCTGGGCTCAGGCAATCCTTCTGCCTCAGGCTTCAGAGTAGCTGAGACTACAGTGCGTGCCATGATGCCCAGCTAATTTTTTGTAGACATGAGGTCTTGCTATGTTGCCCAGGCTGATCTTGAACTGCTGGGCTCAAGCAATCCTCCTGCCTCGGCCTCCCAAAGTTCAGGGATTATAGGCATGAGCCATTGCACCTGGCCTTATGTCTTTTTTTTTTTTGAGTTGAAGTCTCACTCTGTTGCCCAGGCAAGAGGGCAGTGGCATGCTCAAGGCCACCCACAGCCTTGATCTGCTGGGCTCAGGCGAGCCCTCTGCCTCAGCCTTCCAAGTAGCTGAAACTACAGGTGTGTACTACCACACCTGGCTAATTTTTTGATTTATTGTAGAGACGAGGTCTCACCAAGTTTCCCAGGCTGGTCTTGAACCCCTAGGCTCAGGCAATCCTCTCACCTCAGCCTCCCAAAGTGCTGGGATTACAGACTTGAGCCACCATACCCTGGCCCTTACGTCATTAACAAAAAATTATATTCCCAGATTTTTACTGACCATGAACAATGAGGAGATAATACTTTATCTTAAAACACACACACACACACACACACACACACACACACACACACACACACACACAAAGTAAATATTTACAAATGAATGCTACCTGAGTTACTCTCTGTACTAGGCAGTCATCTGCATAGGTTCCTTTGTGTGTGCATGGTAATCGCTCAAATCTTGGATCCTTCGCAATCCTGAAGAGTTATAAAAGTGGATTAAAGAAAACATTCAAGCAATTGGATAACTTTCTGAGTTTCACTCAGTGAAATCAAAGTCACATGAACTGCTGGAGATCTAAGGTACTCCTCTCCTTCTGAAGCTCATCCTCTAATTGAAAACAGCTCACAGGAAGGGGAATTGAAGCTTACCGACTGACAGCTGGTGTGCCTCAGGTCACTTTATCATCACAAAACTGAGTTATTATAAATCCATTTCACAGATGGGGAGGCAGGTTCAGAGAGTTTAAAGTAATTTGTTCAAAGCCAGGATTCAAGATCAAATCAATTTTAACCTGATCATTTCACTTTTAGGATGTTGTTTTACACAAATGTACAAGAATATAGGCACAGGGATGGCCCCTGAAGCACCATTTGAGTGTTGAGTAACTGGAGATAATCTAAACATCCATCAGCAAGGTAAAAGCTAAACACATTGTGGTACCACATCCTATTAAAAAAAGAGTGAGAGACAGCTGTATGTACCAGTATGGAAGGGCTTATACTAAACCGCTGAATAAACAAAGTAGGCCAATGAAATAAGTAAATAAACACATACATACACAAATAAAATACACGATTCAATTAAGACAAATCCTGCTCTCTGATAGATTTGCATTTGCACAGAAGAAGATCTGGAAAAATACATACTAATCCTTTCTCAGTGTCATTCTTGAGATAGAATGGGCAAAGTATGAATGTGGAGGAGGATTTTCTTTTTATTATATGTGTGTGTTTATATTGTTTGCTATAGAACATCCAAACAGGTATTATTTTCATACAAATTTGAAAAAGAAAAACCCTGGGTCTGTGATTCCTAGAGCCACACTCTTTCTATTATACAATGATGATGAGTCACTGAAATGAATAAAAATATAAGGGAGCATGTGGGTACCACATGCAACAAAGGTCTTCCTCCATAGCACAGTAGTTCATTGCTAGGTCAATGGGGGGGGAGGTGTAAGAGGGTATATTTAGAAAAAATGACATGGGGATGAAATACGATGAACTCTAAAGAAGGCACCAAGCCACAAGGGTGGGTACACACCAAGCAGGGCACTAGCCACCTGTGAACAGGCTTTTGGTGTTCAGGGACGAGTGAGCACATCTTTCTGGCTGGAGGAAAAGTGTTCCCAGAGAGGAGGGTGAGACAGGGCTGGAAAGAATCTCCAAAGCCAGGCTGAGGAGTGTCAGCTTCATGACACAGGTGTTGGGTGTGACTCAAGACTCCTGAGGAACAGAGTGTCTCAGAGCAAAGCTCCATCTTGGAAAAACTAAGCAGGTTGTGGTGAGGACACTCTAGGACATGCTAGACTGGCTGCTGAGAAGCCAGGCAGGCAACAGTCTAGAACTCTGCTCTTCTGGGTTATCTCTTCACTCCTGAAATCATTTACCTCCTTCTCTCTAGTCGCTTTTCCCCAGAAATCTATCAGCATACTCTAGATGCTTTCCCATCTTAAAAAAGGAAAAAAAGTCTTTTTATTTGCATCTCCCTCCAACTAACACTCCATTTATATGTCTCTTCACAGTCAAGCAGTGCTTCCACTTGGTGCTTCTATGTTTTCTCCTCCTATTCTTTATTTTTATGCTTTTCCCCTCTTTATTACCTCTTTTCTTCTTTCATTTTTATTTATTTTTTGAGTTGGGCCTCAGTCTGTCACTCAGGCTGGAGTACAGTGGCATGATCACGGCTCACTGCAGCCTTGACTTCCTGGGCTTAGGTGATCCTTCTGCCTCAGCCTTCAGAGTAGCTGGGACTACAGGCATGCACCATCATACCCAGCAAAGTTTTAAAAAAATTTCTAACATATTTTTGTAAAGACAGTGTCTTACTATGTTGCCTAGACTGGTCTTGAACTCTTGGGTTCAAGCAATCCTCCCACCTCGGCCTCCCAATGTGCTGGAATTATAGGAACGAGCCACTGCACTGGCCTCTTCTTTTAATTTGAAGTATTTTAGGTATACAGAAAAGGATAAACAATAACACCTTATCCACCATCTAGTTAAAGAAATGACACATCATAAATACAAATGAAGCCACCACTCCAAGTCTAACCTCTTTCACCTCTCCACAAGTAACTACTACCCTAAATTTGGCATTTATCATTTCCACACATTTTACTATGCATATAAGACTACATATGTACATATCTAGAAACAATGTATTATTGGTTTGCATGTTTTTAAACTTTATATAAATGGTAAGCTCCATATATGCTCTTGCTTTTGTTTTAGAGATGGCGTCTTGCCATGTTGCCCAGGCTGCCCTCAAACTCCTGGGCTCAAGTGATTCTCCAACTTCAACCTCCTAAAGTGCTGGAATTACAGGTGTGAGCCACATTGCCCAGTTCTATTCAGTCTTTTCTTAATGGTCCTTTTGGTTGCCCACAATTGTTTGCTATGACATACATAAGAAAATGCCAATACTTGACCCCAGTAGTATTATGGCAGTCCTTTTCTTCCAACCAGAACCCACAGTAAGAAATGCATTTTACTAGTATACAGAATGCACATATATATGCACACATAAAAGTGAAAAAAGCTAGGCCAGGTGCAGTGGCTCACATCTATAATACCAGCACTTTGGAAGACAGAGGCAAGAGGACTGCCTGAGCCCAGGGGTTCGAGACTGGCCTGGGCTACTTGGCAAGACCTTGTCAATAAATCAAAAAATTAGCTGGGAGTGGTGGCACATACTTGTGGTTCCAGTTACTTGGAAGGCTGAGCCCAGCAGGTCAAGGCTGCAGTGGCTGTGAGCATGCCACTGCACTCCAGCCTGGGTGACAGATTGGGACTCCAACTCAAAAAAACAACAAAAAAGGTGAAAGCTCTGCAAATGAGTACTCAGTCTTTACTACATGCAATGCAAGCAAACATGTTATAGTTTCTTCTACTTCATTAAACTGATTTCACAACCTATGGATTGTGAAAGTCAGTGTTGTGGGAGTATAAACAACTTGATTTGACCAGAGATTGCCAAATTGCCCTCCAAAGTGATGACCAATGTATACCTTTAGTAGTTGAGTATGTCGATTCCCATTGCTTCACAGTCTCAACTATTGCTGGCATTGTCAAACAGATTTAAATTTTTTTTCCAGTCTAATGGGTATAAAATGGTATTTCACAGTGAATTTAAAAATTATCTCCATTTTTCTTACAGATTTGAAGTTCTTTATATCTTTGAAAATAAGCCTTTTGTTGAGTATAAGTGTTACTACTTTTCACTTTGTTTATGGCATCTTTTGTTATACACAGCTATTCAATTTCAAGAGTCAAAATGATTAGTTTTCTACTATGGTTTGTACTTCTGAAGAAATCCTTGCTCACCCTCAAATCATTAAGATATTCTCCATATTTTCTACTAAAAGTTTAGATACTTATTTTAACTGGAGTTGATTTTTGTGTAAGAAGTGAGCTAAACATTCAATTTTATTTCTTTCTACAGGGATAATCGGTATTTTAATAGTTTATCATTTTGTCACTTTCTCACTGAACTAAACGACTCTACCACTCTAGTAAGTTTTGTTTTCTTCTGCCTCAAAAAAAATTTGCTTTGCTGGGCGTGGTGGCTCACACCTATAATCCCAGCACTTTGGGAGGTAGAGACAGGAGGATTGCCTGAACTCAGGGGTTTGAGACCAGCCTGAGCAACATGGCAAGAACTTGTTCTACAATAAGCCAAAAAATTAGCTAGGTGTGGTGGTGCATGCCTGTGGTTCCAGTTACTTGGAAGGATGAAGCGGAAGGACAGCCAAAGCCCAGCAGGTTAAGGCTGCAGTGGCTGTGAGTGTGCCACTGCATTTCAGCCTGGGTGACAGAGTGAGACTCTGACTCAAATTTTTTTTTTGAGTTGGAGTCTCACTCTGTCTCCCAGACTGGAGTGCTGTTGCCGCTCCCGGCCACCGCAGCCTCGATCTGCTGGGCTCCAGCGATCCTTCCGCCTCAGTCTTCCAAGTAGTTGGAACTACAGGCACGCGCTACCACGCCCGGCTAATTTTTTTTTATTTATTGTAGAGCTGAGGTCTCGCCAAGTTGCCCAGGTGGGTCTCGAACTTGTGGGCTCAGGCAATCCACTCAACTCAGCCTCCCAAAGGCGCGGGATTACAGGCTGAGCCACCGAGCCCGGCTTCAAATTTTTTTAAAAAATTGCTTCATTAAATATAAACAAAATATAATAAAATTCACTAACTGTAAAGTTAGTTAAATGAGTTTTGACAAATTTATGTGTTTTTTGTTTGTTTGTTTGAGTCAAGGTCTCACTCTGTCGTACAGCTCACTGCAGCCTCAATCTCCTGGGCTCAGGCAATTCTTCTGTCTCCGCCTCCCGAGTAGCTGGGACTACAAGCATGTGCCACCATGCCCGGCTAACTTTTTGATTTTTTATAGGGACAATGTCTCACTATGTTGTCTAGGCTGGTCTTGAACTCTTGGACTCAAGCAATTCTCCTGCTTTGGCTTCCCCAAATGCTGGAATCACAGGTGTGAGCCATTGCCTAGTTTTGACAAATTTATACATCCATGTAATGTCCTCCACAATGAGATATAGAATATTTTCATCACTGCAAAAAAGTTCACTTGCTCCTTTGCAGTTAACCCCTTTTTTCCTCCTCTGGGTCCAGGCAACCGTTGATCTATACTCTATTACTATGGTTTTGCTTTTAGAATTTCATAAATGGAAGTCCATTTCTAGAGTGATAGAAATATTTTATTTCATGACTATGATGGTAGTCCACGACTGCATACATTTGCTAAACCCATCAAATTATTACAAGTAAAACCAGTGAATTGAGAGACAAATACCACATTCTCAATTATAAGTGGGAGCTAAATAATGTGTACACATAAATGCAGAAATGTGGAATGATGGAAAATGGAGACTTGGAAAAGTTGCAGGGGCAGGAAGGAGGTGGATGAAGAGAAATTACTTAATGGGTACAGTGTACATTATTCAGGTGATAGATACCCTAAAAGCCCTGACTTCACTACTGTGCAGTTTATCTATGTAACAATATTACACTTGTTCCCCATAAATTGATTTAAAAAAAAAAAAGAAAATTAAGCCGGACTCGGTGACTCAGCCTGTAATCCCTCGCCTTTGGGAGGCTGAGGTGAGTGGACTGCCTGAGCCCGCGGGTTCGAGACCTGCCTGGGCAGCAAGACCTCATTTCTACAATAAATCAAAAAATCAGCCGGGCGTGGTAGCGCATGCCTGTAATTCCGGCTACTTGGAGGGCTGAGGCGGAAGGATCGCCGGAGCCCAGCAGGTCGAGGCTGCAGTGGGCGGGAGTGGCCACTGAACTCCAGTCTGGGCGACAGAGTGAGACTCCTACTCAAAAAAAAAAAAGAAAAGAAAATTATGTCAATTATACCTCCATGAAGATGACCAGTAAATCAATCAATCAATCTACTGGGCTATTTTGTACTTTGAATGTCTTTTATCCACACATGATTGTGTAATATCATAAATTAATCATTTAGAAAATATTGTTTCACTGAGGCACAGAGATCTTCCAAATATTGACACTTTCATGACATAATATTAAAAAAAGAAAAAAAAAAGTCAGTACATCCACTGGTCTCAGAAAGGTCTTTAATACTGGAAATGCAATAAGCTTCTGGCTTTTTAAAACTAATTTTTGTGGGATACAGTGGCTCATGCCAGGAATCTCAGAACTTTGGGAGGCCGAGGTGGGAGGAATGCTTGAGCCCAAAGTTTGAGACCAGCATGGGCAACATAGTGACACCTCATCTCTATAAAAATTCAAAAAAATTAGCTGGTTGTGGTGATATGTGCCTATAGTCACAGCTATTAAGGAGTCTGAGGCAGAAGAATCACCTGAACCCAGGAGGTCAAGGCTGTGGTGAGTCCTGATTATACCACTGCACTCCAGCCTAGATGACAGAGTGAGATTTTGACTAAAAAAAGAAAAAAAAAGTAAAACTAATTTTCACTTGCAAGCTTGAATTTTATTACTGGCAAAAAATATGGTAAGTTATTTTCCTTGAATTGACAGGTTCACTGCCATTAATTTTTGAGACAGTATCTGCCAAATATAAAAAGTCTGAATAACTAGTGTTTATCAGTTGTTCTTTCACACAAAATTGATATTCAATGAAAAAGTAGCTGGTTTAGTTCACAGTTCAAACAAGTACACAAGTGCTAAGGAGACAAACCTTGTCCTTTCATATGGAGTGCTTTTTGCATACTTCACATCTCATCACAAAGAATACTTATGCGTACTTGGGGGTCAAGATTTAATAAAGTTAAATCTTATTGCTGCATCCAGAACAAAGTGATTCTGGCTTTTTGGAAAAACAGCTGACAATGGGTGGTGGTGAAGAAGACAGTGACTACTAGCATTATATGAACCCATTGCTTTGATTTGTATTAAAGGCAACAGCAGTTGTGCCATCAGTACAACTATCAACACAGTGACAAAGGCAAAGTCTTAGCTTTTTTTCTTTTTCTTCTTCTGAGTTGGGAGGTCTCACTCTGTCACCCAGGCTGGAGTACAGTGGCACAACCATGGCTCACCACAGCCTCGACCTTCTGGGCTCAAGTGATCCTCCTGCCTTGGCCTCCTGAGTAGCTGGGAGTAGAGGCGCATGCCACCACACCTGGCTCATTTTTGGAATTTTTGTAGAGATGAGGTCTCAATATGTTGCCCAGGTTGGTCTTGAATTTCTGCACTCAAGCAATCCTCCTGCTTCAGCCTCCCAAAGTGCTGGGATTACAGGTGTGAGACGCCGTGTCCAGATGTCTTAGTATTATGGATATAGTTTTGCAAACTTTCTGCAAAGCACTCTGAGACACAGGAGTCCACAAACACACTTTGAGAACATCCACTTTATTTTTTTTTGAGTCAAGAGTCTCACTCTGTCGCCTAGGCTGGAGTGCAGCAGCATGCTCACAGCCACCGCAATCTTGACCTGCTGGACTCAGGTGATTCTTTCGCCTCAGCCTTCCAAGTAGCTGGGACGACAGGCACGTACCACCACTCCTGGCTAAGTTTTTGATGTATTGTAGAGATGAGGCCTTGCCATGTTCCTCAGGCTGATCTCGAACTGCTGAACTCAGGCAATCCTTTCACCTCTGCCTCTGAAAGTGCTGGGATTAGAGGCGTGAGCCACTGCACCTGGTCAGAGAACACCCACTTTACATTCAAAAGTATTTTCTGAGCTGGGCTTGGTGGCTCAGCCTGTAATCCCGCGCCTTTGGGAGGCTGAGGTGAGCAGATTGCCTGAGCCCGCGGGTTCGAGACCCGCCTGGGCAGCGAGACCTCATCTCTACAATAAATCAAAAAA